AACCCAGGAAATTGACTTTTTTCCTTCAGTATGACTCTGTAAAAGATGGTGTATTTGTTATCTAATACTGTGACACAGATTATCCCAAAAGTTAGTAGCTTAAAACAACAGTGAACATTTATTATCTCACACAGTTTCTGGGGGTCAGGAATTTGAGAGTGGCTTAGCTAGTGAGGGTGGTTCTATATTAAGATTTCTCATGAGGCTGCGGTTAAACTATTAGACAGGGCTGCAGTCCCTTGATGGCTTGACTGGGGCTGAGGGATCTACTTCCAGGAGCAGAAAGTTCAGAGAGTTTCCACAGCTCCCCTCACCCCCATTTCCCTATTTATTTATTTTTTTTAGACGGAGTCTCTCTCTGTTGCCAGGCTGGAGTGCAATGGTGCGATCTCGGCTCACTGCAACCTCCGTCTCCTGGGTTCAAGCGATTCTCCTGCCTCAGCCTCCTGAGTAGCTGGGATTACAGGCGTAAGCCACCACACCCAGCTAATTTTTGTATTTTTAATAGAAACAGAGTTTCACCATATTGGCCAGGATGGTCTTGATCTCTTGACCTCAGGTGATCCACCCGCCTCAGCCTCCCAAAGTGCTGGGATTACAGGTGTGAGCTGCCGCGCCCAGCCCCATTTCCCTGTTTTAAACATCTTGCATTAGTGTGGTTCACTGTTACAAATGAACTAGCATTTCCATCAGGTTCTTTGTTTTGTTTTGTTTTTTTTAAATAAATTGACAAGTTTATTTTAAAATTTACTTGATAATGTCAAGGATCTACAATATCCAAAACAATCCTCAAAAAACAGAACAAAGCTGGAAGAACTATATACTACCAGACTTTTTTTTTTTTTGTGTGTGTGAGATGGAGTCTCACTCTGTCGCCCAGGCTGGAGTATAGTGGCACGATCTTGGCTCACTGCAAGCTCCGCCTCCCGGGTTCACGCCATTCTCCTGCCTCAGCCTCCCCAGCAGCTGGGACTACAGGCACACGCTGCCACGCCCGGCTAATTTTTTGTATTTTTAGTAGAGATGGGGTTTCATCGTGTTAGCCAGGATGGTCTTGATATCTCGACCTCGTGATCCGCCCGCCTCGGCCTCCCAAAGTGCTGGAATTACAGGCGTGAGCCACCACGCCCGGCCAATACTACCTGACTTTAAGATATACTACAAAGCTACAGTAATCTCGACAATGTAGTACTAGCACAGGACAGACAAACAGATCAATGAAACAGAAGAGGGAATGTACAGACATACAGTCAACTGATTTTTGGTGAGGGCATCTGAACAACTCAATGTGGGAAAAAAAAAGTCTTTTCAACAAATAGTCTGTCCCATCTGCATACTCATGTGGAAGAAAATGAGCTTCAACTCCTGTGATACAACGATGTATCATATACAACGATGTATCACAGGGGTCGAGGCGGTGATATCATTATATCATAGGGGTCAATAAAATATGTTTTCATTCATAGTTTCTGGCTCATAACTCCCGTAGCTGTTATTTCTCCCCAAGGCAGGCCACAGAAACTAAAAATATAATCTTCCTGCATCTTTCTGTCTTAGAGGTGGCCATAAAGAAATTCTCTGACCTATCTTGTCTGAATGTAGGTCATAAGACCCCCACCACACCATTAGGCCAGGCACTGTGGCTCTCGCCTGTAATCCCAGCACTTTGGGAGGCTGAGGCGGGCGGATCATGAGGTCAGGAGATGGAGACCATCCTGGCTAACACGATGAAATCCCGTCTCTACTAAAAATACAAAAAAATTAGCCGGGCGTGGTGGCGGGCGCCTGTAGTCCCAGCTACTCCAGAGGCTGAGGCAGGAGAATGGCGTGAACCTGGGAGGTGGAACTTACAGTGAGCTGAGATCACGCCACTGCACTCCAACCTGGGCAAAGAGCAAGACTTCGTCTCAAAAAAAAAAAAAAAAAAAGACCCTCCCATTTTAGAAGGTGTCCTATCCCATACCTTGGGGTAAAGAACGCTGCACAGAGAGGCCAAGAAGGATCTGATCAGACAGGCCTTGCGGGTTTCCCCCCTTAGACTGCTAGTATTACATAGTACTCTTTTTGTCCAATCTCATTTCTACACAGTTGTCCATGCTTTGGTCATGCCTATCCAACGAAGTCTCCATAGAAGGCCCAAGAGGAGCTTCCAGAGAGGTGAACAATTGGAGGTTCCTGGAGGGTGTCTGGGGAGGCCACAGAGGCTCCATACCCTTTCCCACATGCCTCACGCTATGCATCTCTTCTCCTGCATCCTTTGTAATATCCTTATAATAAACTGGGAAATGTGTTTCCCTGAGTTCTGTGAGCCACTTTAGCAAATTAATTTAACCTAAGGAGGGGGTAATAGGATCCCTCGTTTATAGCTGGTCGGTCAGAAGTACAGGTAAGTGTGTGGTAGCTAACACCTATAATCCCAGCTACTCAGGAGGCTGAGGCAAGAGGATCACTTGAGCCCAGCCCAAGAGATAGAGACCAGCCTGAGCAACATAGTGAGGCCTTGTCTCTAAAAAAAAAAAAGGACAGGTAAAACAATCTGGGGCTTGTGATTGACACCGGAAGTGGGAAGTCTTGTGGAACTTAGCCCTCGATTTGTGGGATCTGATGCTATCTCCAAATAGTGTCAGAATTGAATTAGAGGTCACTCAGCTGCTGTCTGCTGCAGAACTGATTGCTTGCTTGTTGTTGGGGGGAAATTCCTGCACATTTTATCATAGAAGGCTTCTGTGTTGATTGCTGTGATGTAAGAGCAGAAGAAAAACAGTGTATGTTTTTCCACTTCACCTCTTATCAAACCGTACACAAGGCTGGGCACCATGACTCACGCCTATAATTCCAACACTTTGGGAAGCCGAGGTGGGAAGATTGCTTGAGCCCAGGAGTTAGAGACCAGCCTGGGCAGTATAGCAAAACCCCATATCTACAAAATATAAAAAAACTTAGCCAGGTGCGGTGGTGTGCGCCTGTAGTCCTAGCTACTTGGAAGCCTGAGGTGGGATCACTTAAGTCCAGGAGGCAGAGGCTGCAGTGAGCTGTGATCACACCACTGCACTCCAGCCTGGGTGACAGAGTGAGACCTTGTCTTGCACACACGTGCACACACACACGCACAGCCATACACAAAAATTAACAGAAAATGGGTCACAGACCTAATGTAAAAGCTAAAATGATAAAATTCCTAGAATAAAAAGTAGAAGCATAACTTTATGACCTAAGGGTAGGGAAATATTTTTTAGAAAGCATACAGAACACAGTAACCATAAAAAAAATTTAGGGGCCAGGCATGGTGGCTCACGCCTGTAATCCCAGCGCTTTGAGAGGCCGAGGCGGGCGGATCACCTGAGGTCAGGAGTTTGAGACCAGCCTGGCCAACATGGTGAAACCCCGTCTCTGCTAAATACAAAAAGTTAGCTGGGTGTGTTGGCATGCACCTGTAGTCCCAGCTACTCGGGAAGCTGAGGCAGGGGAATCCGTTGAACCTGGATGGCAGAGGTTGCAGTGAGCCAAGATCATGCCACTGTACTCCAGCCTAGGTGACCTAGTGTGACACTGTCTCAAAAAAAAAAAAAAAAAGCTACCACTAAGAATATGAAGAAGCGGCCGGGCGCGGTAGCTCAAGCCTGTAATCCCAGCACTTTGGGAGGCCGAGACGGGCGGATCACGAGGTCAGGAGATCGAGACCATCCTGGCTAACACGGTGAAACCCCGTCTCTACTAAAAAATACAAAAAACTAGCCGGGCGAGGTGGCGGGCGCCTGTAGTCCCAGCTACTCGGGAGGCTGAGGCAGGAGAATGGCATAAACCCGGGAGGCGGAGCTTGCAGTGAGCCGAGATCCGGTCACTGCGCCCCAGCCTGGGCGACAGAGCAAGACTCCGTCTCAAAAAAAAAAAAAAAAGAATATGAAGAAGCAAGCCACATACTGGAAGAAAATGTAGATAAAACACATATCTGACAAAAGATCTATATCTAGAATATATAGAAATTTCAACAACTCAAAAAATGAAAACTGAGCTACAGGTTTAATGATTGCATACCTTTTGGTGTATATGTTATACTTCAACAAAAATGTAAGTATTTAAAAAACTGGCTGTGTGCAGTGGCTCACACCTGTAATCTCAGCACTTTGGGAGTCCGAGGGGGTGGATAGCTTGAGCCTAGGAGTTTGAGACCAGCCTGGTCAACATAGTGAGACTTTGTCTCCACAAAAAAGAAAATAGTCTCAATGGAAGTCTTTAGCTGAAGATCAGAAACATCTGCAGAGAGAATCAATGACCTGGATGCAGATCAGAACATATTATGTAGAGTACAGCTCAGAGAGACAAAGAGTTGGACAATATTTAAAAAGTTAAAATTCACATAGCAGAGTGATAAGATCTAATATGTCTAACTGGAGTTCCAAAATGAGAGGAGATATTTGAGCAGAGGCCCTGTATGAACAGATAATAATAGCTGGGGATTCTAAACTCATGGAAGATGTGCATAGCCAGACATCAATCAAGTCTCAAGTAAAATACGCACGTATCAAAATATCACATGTATTCCATACATACGCACATTATGTATCAATAAAATTTGTTTAAAGACCAGGTGCAATAGCTCATGCCTGTAATCCCAGCACTTTGGGAGGCCAAGGTGGGTGGATCACTTGAGGTCAGGAGCTCAAGACCAGCCTGGCCAACATGGTGAATCCCCATCTCTACTAAAAATACAAAAATCACCTGTAATCCCAGGCACTTTGGAAGGTCGAGGCAGGCAGACTACTGGAGGTCGGCAGTTTGAGACCAGGCTAGCCAACATCGTGAAACCTCATCCGTACTAAAAATACAAAAATTAGTCGGGTGTGGTGCCAGGGGCCTGTAGTCCCACCTACTCAGGAGGCTGAGGCAGGAGAATTGCTTGAATCTGGGATGCAGAGACTGCAGTGAGCCAAGATTCAGGTATCCCTGTTATTCGAAGTACTAGTCAGAGGCTGGAAGGCCATTCAGTGAGGTTGCTACAGAAAAGATTCAAGCATCAAGCAATGTTTAGACAGATGACCTTTAAGATCCCTTCCAATCCTAAGAACCTTGGAGTCTTACAGTTTTATATGTGCTTACCTTATGAAGACATCCTCCATGGCGGTGACAGAGGCCCCAAAGCTGGAGATGCCCAGCTCTACCTGTCTCAGTTCCAAGTCAGTAAATAGAGATTCAAACCTGGAAGAAAAGAAATGGTTTTAGTCCTGAAAAGTGTAAGGTGAATCCCTTTCGTCACTGCCCTTGGCTCTTTACTGGGGAACAGCATGGACTTTGGAGTCAAGAAGATATTTTTTCAAACACCAGCTTTGTCACCAGCTTTGTAAGTATGGGAATGTCAGGGGCCCTTCACAGCTTTTTAACGTATTAACTCTTTGGATGCTTTCAACAGCTCTTCGAGGACAGTGCAGAGAAGTTAAGAAACTTCCCTGAGGCCACACAACCAGAAGCAGCAGAGCCAGAACTCAAGCTCAGGCCTTTCATCTCTAGAGAGAGTGGTTTCAATTGTTATCTAAGTGAGGAAAGGAGCTAATTCTTTTAATCTGCTCATGTTAAAACCTTTCTCAAACATGTTTTCTATTTTTTTTAATTAAAAGAATCATGGCTTTTTTTGTGATATTAAGACAACCATCATAATCTTCTACAATGAAGGCTTCGTTTTTTTTTTTGTTTTTTGAGATGGAGTGTCACTCTGTTGCCCAGGATGGAGTGCAGTGGCGCAATCTCCGCTCACTGCAAGCTCCGTCTCCCGGGTTCACGCCATTCTGCTGCCTCAGCCTCCCGAGTAGCTGGTACTATAGGCGTCTGCCACGACGCTTGGCTAATTTTTTTGTATTTTTAGTAGAGACGGAGTTTCCCCGTGTTCGCCAGAAGGGTCGTGATCTCCTGACCTTGTGATCTGCTCGCCTCGGCCTCCCAAAGCGCTGGGATTACAGGTGTGAGCCACTGCGCCTGGCCCTAAGGCTTCTATCTCTCACAACCTAGTGTCCAACTTTTAAGAAACCAGATACACATGCAGGGGCTTTGTGTGTGTCCCTGTCGGCAGACAATGGTTATAAACTAATCATGGCTGGGTTTGAGTCTAGACTCTGTCACTTACAAGTTTTGTGATTTTTGAGCCAGTTATTTCACCTTTCCAAATCTTTCCTCACCTGTAAGACAGATATTACCTAATTCAAAAAAGTTGTAAGGACTGAGAAAAATGTAAACACACTTAGCAAAGTAGACCCCCTGTGTTAAATATTCAGCAAATACTATTTACTGAATATGGTCAACAGTATGTCATACCTTCAGTATGTTCACTATCTTGCCCTTCATTCAGTTTCCAGTTACTGAAATTGTACTCATGCTATAGCTACTGTCTGCCAACAAGATCAGAGTATCCTTTTTAAAATATTGACTCGGCCAGGCTCAGTGGCTCAAGCCTGTAATCCCAGCACTTTGGGAGGCCAAGACGGGCGGATCACAAGGTCAGGAGATCGAGACCATCCTGGCTAACATGGTGAAACCCCGTCTCTACTAAAAATACAAAAAATTAGCCGGGCGAGGTGGCGGGCGCCTGTAGTCCCAGCTACTCGGGAGGCTGAGGCAGGAGAATGGCATAAACCCGGGAGGCGGAGCTTGCAGTGAGCTGAGATCCGGCCACTGCACTCCAGCCTGGGCAACAGAGCGAGACTCCGTCTCAAAAAAATAAATAAAATTAAAAAAATAAAATAAAATAAAATATCGACTCTAAATTTATGTAAAGTATCTTGTTCTTAAATGCACAGTTTGATGTAATCTCACCCTAATCAAGACACTGAACATTCCATCACCCTAGAAAATGCCCCCATGTCCCCTTTGATGAGTCCCTCTCTTGCCCTCAGATAACCAAATCTCCTAAATTTTAGATTAGTTTTACTTCTTCTTGATCTTCATGTAAATGAAATCATATGACCTTTTCATCTCCTGCTTCATTCATGTAACATGTTTTTGAGGTTAAACCATGTTGTTGCATGCATTAGTTCATTCTCGTTAACTGCAGAGCAGCATTCAACAAAAGGAATATATCTATTCTCCTGTTGATAGACATTTGGATTGTTCCTGTGTAAGGATGCTTATGCATAAAGCGGCTATAAATGTTCTTCTACGTGTCCTGTGTCTGGACATGTTTTCATTTATTTTGAATAACACAGTAGATAAATGATAGCTGCAAATTCTTTGCTACTTTTCCCACTGAGAGGTGGCCTTTAATTCCCTTTTATCTGGGCTGGCCTTAGTGTCTTGCTTGACTGAGAGGATACAATGCAAGTGATGGATATTGGGTAGAAGAAGGCTTTAGGTATCTTGATTTCTTTGGGAGCCCCAAGCCACTAGATAAGAAGCTTCGCTACCTTGAAATCAGGCTGAATCCATGCCAAGGCGCAGACATGTGAACAAAGCCTCCAGATAAGTCCACTCCCCAACTAGTGTTTTGTTAAAGGCTTTTATGTTTATGCCCATGACGGATATTAGTCTGTAATTTCCTGTTGTCATACCTTTTCCAGGTTTTGGTATCAGGGTTGTGCTGGTCTTAAAATGAGTTGGGAGGTGCTTCCTTCTCTATTTTCTAAAATATTGAGATTATTTTTTTCTTCAGTGTTTCACAGAATCCAGAGTTCTCTTTTTGGGAATACTTTTGATTGCAAATTCAATTTCATGAATAGATATATGGTTATTCAGATTTTTCTGCTTCATTTTGTAAGTTTTGGTAAGTTGTATTTTTAAAGAAATCAGTCCGTTTTACCTAAATTGTCCAATTTATTTACATGTGATATTTTATTATTACCCTTTTTGTAACTCTGGGCTCTGTAACTATAGCAGTTATTTCCTAACTGATGCTAGTTAATTTTCTTTTTCTCTTTAATGCTCTTGGAATTAATGGTTTATCATTTAATGGGTTATCAATGTAATTTATTTATCAATTTTATTAATCTTTTAAAATAACTTTTTGCTTTTTAGCTTTTTAGCATTTGTCGTTTCTCAATTTTCTTTTTGTTTCTTATTACATTATTTTCTCTCCCTATATTTTTCATTTCTTCTCTTCTATATCATCTGGGTTTAATTTTCTCTTCCTATCTTTTCAGTTGGAAACAGGTAAATGATTTTAAGCCCCTTTTCTTTTTGAGTATAAGTTTTTAAAAGTTATATATTTCCCTCTAAGCACTGCCTCAGTAGCATCTGAAAATTTTTAATACATTGTATTTTCATCATCATTCGGTTAAAAATATTTTCTACTTTTTTTTTCTTTTTTTTTTTTTGAGACGGAGTCTCGCTCTATTGCCAGGCTGGAGTGCAGTGGCGCGATCTCGGCTCACTACAACCTCCGCCTCCTGGGTTCAAGCAGTTCTCCTGCCTCAGCCTCCCGAGTAGCTGGGACTACAGGCACGCGCCACCACGCCTGGCTAATTTTTGTATTTTTAGTAGAGACAGGGTTTCACCATGGTGGCCAGGATGGTCTCAATCTCTTGACCTCGTGATCCACCTGCCTTGGCCTCCCAAAGTGCTGGGATTACAGGTGTGAGCCACCGTGCCCGGCCAATCTTCTAGATATCTTACTGTTATCAATTTCTAATTTAATTCCACTGTAGTCAGAGATCATAATCCACATGATTTCAATTTTTTGAAATTTATTTGGACTTATTTCACAAGAGCATGCCCTCCCAGTAAAACTGGACAAAAATATATGAAGCCATTTCAGGTATTAAGCATTAGGAAGTCCAGGACCATGATTGATTCTTGAGAGAAGAGAAACACCAAAGAGAGACCTGTATTTGCCCCAGCTCTTTGGCTTGGGTACTTTCTAGAACATGGGCCAGAAAAGTAAAGGCAAATCAGTGTGTAGCAGTGGACTTGCTGAGCTGAGAAGCTAGAGATGAGAGGTCAGAGCTTCTAAAATGTGTGGACTTTGTGGGACTAGGACAGGAGAGGAGAAGCTGATAGGGGAGGGCCCAAGTAATCTATTATGGTAAATATCCCATAGGCATTTGGAGAGAATGGGTGTTCTGCAGCTATAGTTTGTAGTGTCTATCTACAGGGAGTAAGTGTGATGACAATATTATCAAAATATTTTATATCCTTAAAGAGTTTTTTTTTTTTTTTTTTTTGAGGCAGAGTCTTCACTCTGTCGCCCAGGCTGGAGTGCAGTGGCAACATCTCGGCTCACTGCAAGCTCGCCTCCCGGGTTCGGCGCCATTCTCCTGCCTCAGCCTCCCTGAGTAGCTGGGACTACAGGCGCCTGCACCCGCGCCGGCTAATTTTTTTGTATTTAGGTAGAGACGGGGTTCACCGTGTTATCCAGGATGGTCTCGATCTCCTGACCTCGTGATCCGCCGCCTCGCCTCCCAAAGTGCGTGGGATTACAGGCGTGAAGCCACCGCGCGGCCCTTAATGAGTTTTTTTGTCTACTTTTTCTATAAATAACTGAGGAAAGGGTGCTATAATCTCCAAAATGGTTGGGATTTTGACTTCATCTATTTTTGTCAACATTCACTTCATGTATTTTGAAGCTCTGTTATGAGGCACATACATGTAAACAACTGTTATGTCTTCCTGGTGTACTGACTCTCATCAATATGCACTGTCTCTATTTCTGTGGTGTAGCTACACTGAAAAGATGGCCTAACAATTTCTGCCCTCCCTGATTGAGCATGGCATGTCTCACATCAAGAAGTGGTGCTGACCAGGCGTGGTGGCTCATGCCTGTAATCCCAGCACTTTGAGAGGCCAATCACGAGGTCAGCGAATCGAGACCATCTCTGGTTAATCACGTGAAACCCCGTCTCTACTAAAACTACAAAAATTAGCCGGGTGTTGGCGCCTGTAGTCCCAGCTACTCGGGAGGCTGAGGCAGGAGAATGGCGTGAACCCAGGAGGCAGAGCTTTCAGTGAGCCAAGATAGCACCACTGCAGTCCGGCCTGGGCAAAGTGCGAGACTCCATCTCAAAAATAAATAAATACATAAAAGAAGTCGTGCTTACTTCCCCTCCCCTTCGACTGCTCTGAGCAATAGAATGTGACAGAAACGACGTGTTGGTATTTCTGAACCCAGGCCTTAAGAGATGTGGCTATCTTTGCTTTCTTTTGAAACATGCACCCTTGAGATGCTTCTTCTTGGAACCTACCTGTCATGCTATGAGACACCCAAACCACACTGAGAAGCT